GCCCAGACACTTACCGGTTCTCCTCAGGCAGGGGCAAGCCAGGCATGAGCTCTGGAGCTCTCCACTGCACCTGGGCTCTCCCGCTGGCATGGGGACTATGGCAGCTCCTTCTTCTCTGGCCCATCAGACATCCCCCCCATTAATGCCCATGGGGATGCAACTGGCCTAGAACTCTTCCTCCTGCAGAGACAGGCCCTGGGGGCATCATCATGCAGCACCTGGGGCCAGCAGGCAAATCCTGGTTGCATAGCCAACACTCTGTGTGACCTGGAGCAGCTTATTGGGTCTCTGGGCCTCCGTTTTCCTATCTGTATAATGGGAACAGTCATACTGCCTGCATCGTGTGTGGCTGAGGGGTAGAAGGAGGCTGTACATTTTTAAAAGGCTCAGAATCAGTCTGGCCTTGTTTCTATCCTGTACCTGATCAAAGTGGAGCAGGTTAGGGCTTCTGTGTGTGGCAGGGGAGCTGGAGCAGCTATTACTGAGTCCCTCTAGGTTTGAGTCTCAGATTATCATCCTGTGGTCAAGGGTCCCCAGCAGTGGTCCTGGGGATCATGGGTGGAACTGGTGAGCACCCTTAGTCTTCACAGCTCTGCAGGCAAGTCTCAGATGGGCTCCATGTGTTTTTAGTACTAGGCACCACCAGATTTGTCTTCTGCTATTTTGACAACCTCTACAGAGAGAGCTATGACAGAATTAAAGACAAGGAAAATACTTTGACAGGTTGTGAAAGAAACAGATAAAAGTATGCCTAATTTAGCAGAGAGTTCCCCTGAAGCAGAGATGAGGGGACAAGACACATCAATTACAGGACATGCCCCCAGCAACCTACTTCCTCCAACTAGCCCCTCCTGCTAATAATTCATTCAACTATAAACTTATCAGTTGACTAATAATCCACTAATGAGATTGGAGTCCTCATGATCCAACCACCTCCCTAAGCACCCCCTCAATCTGAACACTGCTGTACTGGGATACCAAGCTTTCAGCACATGAGCCTTTGGGGGACATTCTAAATACCATAACATCTCTTCTCTTACCTGATTTCTGCACCATACAGCCATCCCTGAGTGTTCCTCAGGGCCTGCCCCAACCCTCAGTCTGACCTTCTTTAACCCTCCCTGGGGCTGATACCTGCTGTGCCGAGAACTCCACGCCATCCCCAAGCCTACCTTTCCCAACTCTGTGCCCCAGTGACCACAACAGCCACTGGGTATTCTCAGCATGGCCCCCCCTGGGCCAAGCAAGGCACCAACTCCATCAGCTCCCAGTCCTCACCCAGCTGAAGGCCATATGGCCACACAAGAGCTGCCAAGAAGGAGAGCACCTTTATCTGAAAGATGTTAAGGATTTGGGACCCCAAACCTAGACTCCAGTACCTCCCTAATCCTGGAGTTGGGAGAGCAGAGTTTAGAAAACCTAAAGTTCATATAGGGTCAAAGTGGCCTCCTTGAGTTTCTTTAAGGATCAAGGGTCCTATACTCAGTGTTCCTTGTACACTGCATTCCCTCTCCAGGAACTTCCTCTATTCCACATCAATAGCCACATCCAAAACATCATTTCCCTCAGAGATCTTCAGAGACCCCCCTCGGGGAAGGCTGCAGGAAACCCTGCATGCCTACTGCAGTCTATGGCACCCACCTGCTGAGGGGATCCCATCATGACCAGCTTTGGGCCTGGCCAGCTACTGTGGGCAGACCTATATTCTTCCCAACAGGAGCCCTTGCTAGGGTCAGGCCAGGACCCAGTTTGTAACCCATCCATGACTGGTCAGTCCCCTCTTATGAACAGAGATATCCGCTGGGATGTGGCCCCTGCACTCTGTCCCCACTTCCAAAGCTCTCCATGGCCACTACCCATGCACCCACCTGAGGCAGTGATGCCAACCTCCAGGACCTCTTTCCCACCCATGTTGTGCACGGTCTCCAGGAATTCCACAGAGATCAGGGGCAGATGAGCCTGTTGTCAGACGCTGAGCTCACTGATGATGAGCTGGCCAACTGTTCTCACATGCATCAGAGGGTCTCAACCTTGCTGCTCTTTGGAATTGTCTGGAAGGCTTTACAACAAGTTTTACGTCTGTGCTGAGTGTCATTTGGAAGAGGCTCTGGTCTGAGGGGCATTTCCCCTGACCCGCAGTGTTGAAGAGCAAGGACCAAGGCAAGGCCTGCAGACCTTCAAAAGTGAAAGGAGTGGAGACCACATGTTGGGTGGGGAGGGGGCCGCCAGCCCCACTGGCTCTGCTCCTCACCTCCACCAGGTACAACAAGGGGTCCCGAGTACCCCCACCACTCCCTACCCTAGCAAGGGGCAGCATGGCCCCCACCTCTGGCCAACTCTGATTGGCTTTAGAATGACCACCTTAGACTGAAGCAGGACACTTCTGAATTGGCCTTGCCCACTCCTGGCCCATACCCAACATCTGCTGCACTGCCACGAAGTGATAGAACCCCAGCCACTGTCCCTGCCCCCAGAGGGACAGCAGCAAAGGGATACCCAGGAGGTCTTCCTTATGGCCGTGCAGGTTCTACATGTCCCATTAGTGTACTGGCACCTACTCTGGACCCTCTGGACACAGCAGTTGCCCTCCAGGTGTCTTGGTTCCTGTACAAATAAATGCAGCAAGAAAGCAGCCTGGATTTTCTGAGAATTGTCAGTGAAGGAGGGTCCTTTGCGTAGAAGAGCTCTGGGCCTGCGTCCAGGGCCAGATTCCCAGGAAATCAAAAGCACATTGACAGTCTGACATTTCAATCCAGGCTGAAAGTGACTAGAAGCCTCAAATCTAAATCTCATCAGGGGAGGCCAGAGCTCCACCTGACACAGTGTAACAACGAAGAGCTTCCACTACAAGGCCAAAAAGCCAAAGCACGTTAGCTTAAGGGGAAAAGTGTGAAGGAATCCGTTGCCTCATATAGCTGGCAAGGTGGCTCTCTTCAGTTACAGCTAGACGCAGGCACTCTGAGGAATTCATCAGAGAGCGTCTCTTCCTCTCCCACCTCATCTCCCAGCTCTGCCTTCTGCCAGAACATCTGAATTCACTCCTGCTTGTGGCTGCAAGGAAGGAATGGCAACACCAATTCCATAACCTCAGTCTAAAACCCCACAGGGACATGTTTCCCCCACACACACCCTAAGAGGAAACCCCTGGGAAGAACTCAGGTTTGTATTTGCATGGTCACATAAGGAGGGACAAGGCACAGTGACTTAGACCTTCTGTGACCACACCTGGGAAAAGGCAGCTCTAGCAGACATTGGCTGAGCTGGTGGGGGCGGGGCCCAGGTTGCTTTGTCCAGGAGACCAGAGACGGAAGCACCCACCCATCCTGACCACCCACAGCACCCCAGGAGGTAAAGCCAGGGCACCCCACAGACCATGGCACCACGCACAGTCAGACTTTTATTAGGAAATCACCCTCCAGGCGCACTGGAGTACTGTGGGTCTAACATGTTTCCTGAGGAAGGAGGGTCACAGTACCAGAGCAGTCAGGGGCCCGGCAGCTGGCCCGAGAGTCCCAGCCACCATGGGGCCTGACCGCAACCAGTACTCCTCCACAGCAACATGACTCAGCCGTAAGAACCGCCACAAACGCAACACGAGACATACGCCAGGGCACACACGTCTGCGCTACTTAAATAATGATAAATACAGAATCCCACTTGCCGCCGTCGTGCCTGAACGAAGGGACCCAAAAGGAAAACGGAAACCAAAGCATGTCTCTCTCCACTGGGCCAAAAGGAGGAAATCCCCAAACTATCAAAATTCCTCAGTTACAAAATACTTCTTAAAAATTCCATATTAAAAGAATAAATAACAAAATATATAAAAAATAACTTGGTTGCATCAAAATTATGACTAGGAGTTGTATCCTGGTTTTCGTGGCCTATCTTATAGTCAAGTAGCCACTTTTGCTTTGATTTCGCTTATTCCACTCTTCGGGTGCCTTAGTGCAGGGTCTAGTTGAAAATATTACAAAATTAATAAATAAAATGTTAAATAAATAGCAAACATTAACATAAGAAGATGTGAATATAAATACTTACATCTGGACAAAATTAAATAATGTACAGAATAAGCTAACTACCTCCAACGTCTTCCAGGAGCTGCAGCTTCTCTACTTTAAATACTAATTCAGAATTGCCGTCACAAGGGACTTGGCTCTATTTACACAGTCGGAACATTGTGTTCTTAACACATTAAATTAAAATTCACCTTTTTTCACATCTTGAATGGATCTAAAAAGAAGTGAGACCTTGGTGGTCTCCCACTAGGAATTCACCCCTGACCTCACAGACACTGTCCCCACCTTGGCCACCTCACATAGAGATCAAGGCCAGCCAGCCATGACCAGATGATGTGGCAGTGATAAGCCAGGGGCCTGGGTGGAGGTGCAGAAGCCGGGGACTGCTTTCCAGGGGCCTCCCAGCTTGAACCCCATGAGCTGACTGGGCTGCTATGCTGTCTACTGTCTGGATTTTCATCTGGAAGGCCTACTCCTAACTTTACCTCTGGCACAGAGTTCTGCTCCACCCTTAACACAAAGCTGAACTAAATGAAAACAGAAAACACACTTGCCACAAGGGCCCTCACTGAGAACAGACACACAGCTCCAGCCATGTCCTCTGGGCTGAGACACTGGCCCACGGAGCCCACACTACCCTCCCAGTCTCTACAGACAAAGAATACTGTGGTTGCAAACTCCAAAACTTCCCTGAGAACCTTGTCCATGAGCTTCCACTGGAGTCTTTGAGCTGCTCTTCAGATTTCTTTCAGAAAACAAAAATAAATCACTTTGTAACTCTCCAGCTTCCCCAGGCACTTGCATGGGGAGGCCTCGGCCCCAGAGACAGGATTTCCAGGCACCCCTTTGGATGAACCCGCCCAAGGCTGCACCCAGGCTGCCAACGAGAAGTCACTGCGAGTTGGGGACCCCACTGCGAGGGGCAGGGTAAGGGAGGTAAACACAGGAGCCAGGGCGGGGTGCTCCTCCAAGCATCACGGCCTAGACCTGGATGCCCCTCACGGCCTGCTTGATGCTCTCCAGGAGGCCCTTGTTCTCAGGATTCTGGTAGCAGTCCTGATTGGAGTACATGTCGGTGAGGGTGCTCACATAGGCGTCAAAATTCTGTTCACATATTGGCTCCTAGAGAACAGAACTAGGTTAGCAAGTCCATCTACACAGTGGGCCCCATGTAGCAGCAACCAGTCCCAAATGACCAGAGGCAACGCTGGTGGCTACCCCATCCTAGAAAGCCCACCAGGGTTTCTGTTTGCAGCGACCCCAGTGACAAGACCCTCTGCCACAGACCCTCCTGCCCCAGATTCACAGGCTGCTCAGGAAAGTAAGAACTCTGCAGCTGACAACTGGTCCCGGTGGGCCACAAGAGCAGGGCCCAGAAGCAGAGGGGTGAGGGGCCAGCCGCCCTCCCCTGAAGGCCCAGGCAGTGAAGCAGAGTTGCATACCAGGTGGGGAAGGCGGATGTTGGCGAGACTTTGGATGAGAGCCTGGCTCAGGCCGGACAGCTCCAGAAACAGGGCTTCATTCTGCTCCTCGATGAGCTTGTTCTCCTCCTCAATGCTCTTCAAGTTCTTCTCCATGGAGGAGATCTGAGGACGAGCCCAGGGGTGGGGGAGAAGTAGGCACCTGCTTCCCCATGGGGCCCCACCTCTAGGGAATCGCTGGCCCCTGCCCCTGGGCACAAGAGGCAGAGCCCTCGGTAAACAGCCTGTGCTCAGGGAGGTCAGGCATTGATGTGGGGCTGTGTGTGGCCATGGCTCTGTGCTAAGGATGGGCAAGGGCACAGGACACAAGCACCCTGTGCTCATCTCAGCCACCCCAGCCCTGTGTCTCACTTCACCAAGCTCCCAGTCCTGTCTCTAAGTTGTGAAGGCCTGCACCCACCCCATGGGTATCAGGACGCCTCTGCGTATTCCCCTCACCAAAAGACCAACCAACGGCCTCCACAGGTCTCCCAAGCAAGTCTTCTGCAGGTCAAGCACAGGGTGGCCCCTTCCTTGCTTGCTATACCTCAGCCATGAGCCTGCACAGGGCCCCCAGGTCTCTGATATCAAGGGACAGCCCAAGCCTGTCTGGATATCTCCATGGAGCCCCAGAGCAGAGGCTTAGCTCATGTGAGGATCATCTTAAGCAGGGATAGGAAGGTCCCTGTGGGAGACTGCAGGTGGGACCCAGCGAGTCCTGTCACCTGGTGACAAGTGTGGCTTTAAAGGACTCGGGAAGGGGGAAGGTGCCTTTCCTTTGCATTCTACCGTGAGCACAATCCACCAAATTCCTTCAAAGGGACGGCAAACACCTTCCAAAATAAGGCTAGTAAAATGTAACAACTTGTCTTTGAAACAAACAGGTTTGTTTTGTTTTTATATGGGGTCTCACTGTGTTGCCCAAGCTGGTCTCAAACTGGTAGACTCGTGAGATCCTTCCACCTCAGCCTCCTGAGTAGCTGGGACGACAGGCAGGAACTACTCTAGGTCTGGCTCTAAAAGGCAGGTTTTGCCCTCTAGAAAGAAGTATGGAGAGTCCTAGAAATACTGTGGATGGAACTACCACAAGACCCAGCTATCCCACTCCTTGGTGTTTTCCCAAAAGATCTAAAATGTGCATACTACAGCAATACAGCCACATCAATGTTTGTAATAGCACAATTCACAATAGCTAAATCATAGAATCAAGCCAGATGCATATCGACAGATGGATGGATTAAGGAATTGTGGAATATGTATACAGTGGAGTTCTACTTGCCATTAAAAAAAAGGATGTGATCATAGCATTTTCCAGTAAAGGGATGGAAATGGAGAATAGCATGCTAAGTGAAATTAGCCCAACTCAGAAACTCAAAGGTGGAACATTTTCTCTCATATGTGGAAGCTAGAGCAAAATAAAGGGGAGGAAAGGATAGGATAACATAAAGAAGCAATCAATTACAAATTAACAGACAAGCAAAAGGAAATCTAGTAGAGGAAGGAGAATGGGAGAGAGGAGGGGGGCAGCAGGGAAAAAGAGGCAGAAATCAACTTTCATGAATGTTTGAGTTTCTCAAAATGAACCCAACCACTAAGTATAACTCTAAAAAGAAAAGAAAAGATGGGCTTGACAAATAATGAGAAATAAGAGTTACTGCCCCAAGGACACTGCCACTAGGGGACAGGAAAGGCCCAGCCAGGGGCCCTGTCACCCCATTGTCACTGCCTATGAACTGGAGGGCTCAGCATTGACAGGGGCAGGACACAGTGAAAATCCTTTCTGAGCTCCATGGCTGATGCTGTTTTCATTCGGGCTGCAGAGCCAGCAGAGAAATGAGCTGAGCAACAAGACACCTGGGGCTGGGCCATGTCAGACAGGGGCTGCCTGTAAGAAGGGGCCTTGCGGTCTTCCCATCTTCTCATGATTCCTTCTGCCTTGAAGGAGTTCCTCCTACATTCCCTGTAGGGGAATGGTCACCTTCTTGTCCCTTTGTACCCCCAGCTACTATGGGACACTCCTCCCATGCCACCAGCTCTGCTGTGACCCAATCAGCAGCCCAAGGGTGAGGTATGTTCTTGTTTTCAAAATAAGGCCTTCACTGCTTTCTTCCAAGTACAAGTGCTCACTAGGGGAAACCCTGTAAGCGATGCATGACTCAGCCAATAGCACTCAGCAACCGCTGGGCTCAGAGGCATGTGTGCTCTGCTCAGGCAAAGCCCTCCTCAGAGCAGTGAATCCTTGAACAACAACCCAACAGAGCGGGACCCACTCTGAACCCCATCCCACTGAGAAAGAAACAGGAACTAAAAGGTGGAGGTGTAGAGGCCAGTCTATCAATGGGTGGCTGTGCTAGGGAGTCTGGCTTCAGTTCAGGCCAAGCACCATGCTCAAGGGCTGCCAGTACCAATGAGACCAGAAACTCCAACAGGGCGAATATTCCTCATAACGTACTAATGCTGAAGGACCACTCACACCCTGAGACTGACCCGGTAGGATGACTAGCACCAATGGGACCCCAGGCCCCAGGAGTGGAACAGTACCAGCACTGCCAGGTAGTGGGTGGGCAGCCAGCCAGCCCACACGAAGTATCCCTGCATGCCAGGCACCGGGCTCTCAACCAGCTGAGCTCAGGCAGCACTGATGGACACTACGTCATCTCCAGGAGGGACTGTGGAAGGGCAGAGGCGGCAGGGGCAACAGCACCCACCTGGGACTGCAGCTGTACCACGGCAGCTTCCATCTCCGAGTTGGACTCGTTCAGGTCTCGGATCTCCTGGTTCAGCTGCTTGATCTCCTCGTCGCTCTCCAGCACTGTCCCAGAAAGAAACCTCAGATGTAGCCTGACCTCAGGCCCAGACGACAAGTAGGGTGCAAGGGGCCTGCTTTCTTGCTGGAGCAGAGGTCCCCACCTGGCCCTTGAGCTCATCGCTCTTGGGCTGGGATGCCACATTTCCCTCTTGGAAACCTGTCTTGGCAATGAGATGACAGTTGTTTTGCCTACTGGCCTGGGCCCTGGTGGGAAGGCCTGGGTCTATTTGCAGGTTCTAACCACTGAGACAAAAGGGGAGGTGTATTCAGAAATGAGTCTCTTTCCACATCCACAACCCCATGGACATAGCTTCTGGTGCTGAAGAGGGCTCTCTGATGCCAGTGATCACCAAAGCCCCAGGTCAGAGCAGGCATGACCACTCAAATGAAGGCCAAGGGAATCCAGACATGGGCATTGAGAACTTGAGAAGCATTGGCAGGCCTGGCAGCTCAGGACAGGGCTGTGTCTACCACGACTCATTCCTGGAGAGGTTGGCCTCCCTACTCCCTCCCCAGGGATAGCTCCAAAGGGCATCCTTACCATCACTGGTCTTGAATTTGGGGCTGAGAACCTCGTCCCCTGAGAGTTTTCCCTTCTTTCCAGCAAAGGTTGCTCTGGGACAGCCAGACAAACTAGAAGCAGATGTCATTCATTACTGACCATCCCAGGGTCACACACCAAGAAATAGACCAGCCCCGGGACACAATTCTTGAGTCAATCCAGAGTCATACACTGTGAATGGTCTAAGACAAGCTCCATCTCACTCAGATGACCCTGAGGTCCTCTCTTTGGCAGAACTGCCCCGCATCAGCTTCCTGCCCTCCTGGGGAGTAAGAGGTAACAGTCCAGGCAAGGCGGGGGCCAGGATGTACCTTCTCTGAGTACAGCCTATCTGGCACAGTAACAGCTGACCCCATGAGTAGTGTGACTCGGGGCATAACTGCTCCCAGGCACTGCTTCCTCTGGGGCCTGAGGGCCTCAAGACCTACTTGCTGGCACCTTTCAGGTCTGACTTCCCAGAGGAACCCTTGCAGCTGACTCTACCCAAAAGAGCCTCCAAGGTGTGGTTCCATGACACTGACGACCTCTTGGACAGAGATGTTCACACAGAGATACATAAGAATGGTGGGTCATCAGGCCTGATTTCAGGTTCACGCAGTGACCCATCTACAACAGGGACGGAGGCTGCTTGTGCTGGAAAACAGATCCTTTACTTACGCCTGCAAATGCCCAGTGAGCAGTGCAAAGCAGGATGCAGCTTGGCAGCTGCCTTGATTTTTCATCTATCTCCTTTATTACCTTAAACTTTGGTCTGGATTCCTGCTCAGTTCTACACCTAGCATGTTAATCTGAGTGCTCGTCGAAAAACTGGTAACTTAAGGTTGATTAGCCCTAATTTATGTAACCCATTACTCTCATCCCCCTTCACGACTGAGGACCCCAAGATAAGAATAACTAAGGTATCTAAAACAGATTGTCAATGACCAGCTTTTTTTTTTTTTTTTTTTTGGTACAAAGGATTGAACTCAGGGACACTTTAACCACTGAGCCACATCCCCAGGCCTTTGCCCTTTTTATACTTTATTTAGAGATGGGGTCTCACTAAGTTGCTTAGGGCCTCACTAGGTTGCTAAGGCTGGCTTTGAACTTGTGATCCTCCTGCCTCAGCCTCCAGAGCCCCTGAGATTACAGGCCTGTGCCATGTTGTTTGGCTCAATGACCAGCTTTTTTTTTTTTTTTTTTTAACATTCTGCTTTTTACCAAGCAGAAGTTTGCAGTCAGATTGCCCTATGACGCGACTGCTCCCCCCTAAGCAGGGTCAGTCATCTCACAATAGGAGTCAAATTGCCCCTCAAGAATGAGGCTTCCCCAGAGCTGAAGCTGTCCAGAACCAGATCACAGCTTGATGGAGACTGCTTAATCATTCACATCTTTAACTCCTGGCCCAGTTCTTCCTGTTCACCCTGAAGTCCATGTCAGTGTCCCTGAAGGCAGGTCTCATTCTTTGCAACATGACTACACTGACTCGACTCGTTTCCTACTTCTCACCATGACTTTTGTTTGTTTTCTTCCAGATGAGTAGCTAGACCTACTCTGTTAGGACTCCAGAGTTGGCTCTCTGGCCTAGGAGTCCAATAACCATCCACATCAAGAGTGAAGGCTGAGGAAGTGCTCAGGAACCCCTCTGTACACCAGCCCAGCAGCCTCTTCTGGGGCCTTCTTGGACTGTCCCTTGTGGCCTGTGGCCCGAGTGAGACCTGATCTCTGCTCTGCCCCTAACCAGGTCACCTCACTCACAGAGGCAGTCTGGAGAGATCCTAGCTTAGGACTTTCTGTCTCTTCTTCACCCGACTCCGACCTGGTCCAACAGACGGGTCCTCCCCAGCTCCAGCCATGCCAAGGGTGTGTCCTTTAGTCAGCTGGAGTGGGTTCCTGGACCCCTCTCAGAGACCTCTTTCCCACCTTCTCTGATGTTTTCCCCAGAGCCCTGACTACCACGCTTCATCCGAGGTAACTTACTCCTCTGTCTACTCCGTCTGTTTCCCCACTCACCCTGCCCAAAACTCTGAAAGGGAAAGAGCTGGCTGTCCTTCAGCCTCTGCTCTATCACCAGGCCTTGGAGCAAGATGGGCTCTTAGTAAATGCTTTTGTTGGATGAATACATTAATCAACCTTGCAGAAGGAGGAAGGAAGGAAGGAGAGAAGGAAGGGAAGTGGAGGGGAGAAGAAGGAAGTGGAAGGGCAGGGAAAGGGACTTGTAACAGGCTTAGTCACTGACCCTATGCTCCCCAACCACCACTGTGACACCAGCACAAACAGGAAGGAAAGACGATGGAGCAAGGCCCTGTCCCTCAGGTAGGTGAGAACAAGAGCACTACCCAGGCCCACGGCCAGGCAAGAAGGGGTCTAGTCACCCGATCCCGGAAAAGCAGCGTCTCTGCCCAAAGTTCAGATAAGGGGCCCCAGTGAAAGGGGCAGGATAGGAGACATTTTTTCTTGAAAGTTGACAGCCTAAAAGAAAATTTTCTCAGACATGGACTGTCTAAGTGTGACTCCAGCCTAGAGAGCCTCCCTCGGGGCCTGGAGAGCAGCTACCAGAGCAGACACAAGGAGAAAGCAACATAAACGCCATCGGCACCAACAGAGCCTTTGTGGGCTTCCCCTGGGAAGCTGCCCATATGGCCTCGCTTCTTCCTCAGGGAGCTACTGGCCACAGTGAGCCTTTCTCCCTCCCCCCAGGAGCCTTGTCCCGGCCCAACACCAGAGTTCCTGATTGCTGACATAGAGGCAGAGTGTGTGGGACAGTTACCTCCGGTGGGTGAGGAAGCTCCCGTTGGCATGGCCAGAGCCATCACAGCCTGGGGTGGGGCAAGTTGGCCCCTCGTTCTTCAGCGCCTTCCAGGAGAAGGACGAGCCATTGAGGGAGCCCTCTTTCTGCCTCCGGGCGGCCAGAGGGCAGCCAGATGCACTTCTGTGAGAGGCATATTTGCCACTGATGTGACCAAGCCCCACACAGCCTGGAACCGGGCACCTGGACATAAAAAGGCTGAGGTGACCACAGAGGCACTGGTGTCGGGGGAACTTGGAGACCCACCAGCTCCTAAGTGAGGCAGGAGGACAGCAGAGTCCTGGAGCCTAGAGAAGAGCCTGGCCTTCCAGGTAAGAATCGAAGGCCACATGGCCTGCCTGCCCTCTCTCTCTTGGCCTCAGAGCCCCTGCTTGGCTGCTAATCAGGGGACAGCCAGGGGTAGCAGGGGCCTGCCGTCACTGAGGCCAGGCATGGCATCCATGGTTGTCCCGGAAACACAAGCTTAGATATCCCATAATCGTCTTGCCCGTGGCTGCCCAAGAGTGGCTTTTCCTCTGCTCCACATGTTCAGGGAGAGGAGCAGAACCCTTTACGTAAATTACATAAGTACAGAATGAAAAATGCCCCAGGCACACCATGTGGGACCCTGTCTGAGTGTCTGTCCTCACACCTCAGGGAGGGATGTGGACCAGGGAGATTTAGGGGCCCAGTCACCCAGAAACCAACACCTGACCCAGACCAGATTCTCAACCTGACAGTTCTCAGTTTTCTCCCACCAACAAAGTTCATCCTGACGGTCTGTCACACACTCACAGTGTGTGAGAATGCCTGAAAAGGGGTACAGGACCCAAGAGGCATCACTGCCCTGTTTTATAGTGGTCTTGGGGCACAGAGAAGTCAGGAGGCAGGACACCCTCAGGAGGACAGAGGGCTATCAGCAGAGGCTCCTGTTGTGGGAGCGGGGAGGGCACGGCACAGGGCAACATTGCCCAGTAGGAGCTCACTGCCTCCCAGTGCTAGTAGGGAGGGCAGTTCCAGGGCCTTGTCCCACACTTGTGGCCTCATCTCAAAGGCCACCCATGTAGACAACTTCCCAGCCATCTTTTCTAGGGTTCTTCTTCCTCTTCTGTCCACACTGCCCGTCTCTTGCCTCTCCTCCCCTTCTCACTCATCTGGCCGCCCAGCGTAAGACAATGTAGGATGTCCACTGGGCCGGTGAAAGGACACCTCAGCTTCTAGTCTAGAGCAGGGACTCCGCCCAGGGCTCCCAGGAGGGCTTTGGTGGGGGTTCACATTTAATGTTCAGCCCCTCGAACCTGGATGCCTCCCAGCCATAGGGCCTGAGGATGCCTGGCCTGGCATGGCCAAGACTGAGGTTGAGGGCTTGGGCCAAGAGGAGGCAACTGACAAGTACCTAGCCTCACAAGATCCAGGGACCAAATGAAGGTGTGTTGCAGTTGCTCCATGCAGTTCAGTCTGGATTCTTTCTAACCACTTTGTTGCAAAACTCTAACTCTCCCTAGAATGGCATTCATGAGGGTTATTTCAGGCATGATTTCTTTCTCTTAAAACCTGGTATCAAATCTTCAGAGACATCACGTGACTTTGTGTAGAGAAATACGTGGGGCACTGAGCCAGAGGGTTTCCATGCTTCTCAGGTGAGTTGGTTTCTTGGAGTAGATGGTGGGACCCAGAAACTGCATGTGGTTTGACATGAGAAATGGAGCCAAGACAGCAGGGACCAGAGGAACATTTCACAAGTCAGATGCAGTGTGGCTGGTGGCACAGACCTCCTCCAGGTGGGCAGAGAGAGCAGGTCCTGACCCCCACACCGGAACAGCTGTCAACTTCTTGACCAGTTATAAAGTGGTGGCAACCGGGGTTCACCACAAAGTGCTGACAAGACTTATCTTCCAACAGGCAAACATAAATTGGAGCTCTTCCTCCACAGCCTTGCAAAAGCACGGCTCATGCCTGCTAACAAAATCCCTTCTCTCAGCAGGACATGGTGCATCCATTAAAGTTTCTGCTTTGGTCTGCATTTACTAAAAGATGGTGGTTAATTATAAATATGGTTAAGGTTTATGGCTGAGGGGAGGCCCTATGAAATGGACGTGCTGTGGAACCATTAGGAACTCTGTCCATCCTGCAAATGCTGGACAGTTTCTAAAGGTCACAAGCTCCACTTGTCTGCAGAACTCTTGCTTTTTAAAAAGCAAAGTTGATAGCACATTAGAAGGAGGAAGATCATTTTTTCCAGTTAATTTGAAAAATGCTGATCTTGATTTTAATCATTTGCAAATGCAGCACAACTCATTTGTGATACCCCTGCCAGCAGGGTCTTTGCTGAATATATAAAAGCAATGTGTTTGTAGGGTCACGGGCAGCTCTTGGACTCTCAGGAGGAAAAGTACTTTTCTCCACCCAAGCATTTATCATGCCAGACTTATGATACTAACAACCACGCATTTCACACTGTCAATATGGCTGTTTACTGTAATAATTGAGTAGCTACATCTTACTAGACCAAGCAGCTGGTGGGGGCATCCCCTTCTGAAGGATGTGACACTGCTTTAGGCCCCTTCTCTGTGGCGAAGTAAATGTTCAGGAATAGCTGGGGCAAGCTCTGAAGAGGAGCACTGGAACCTCAGGTCCAGGTGCGCCTCTGTGAGATGCCTGGTTGTGTGTGGCCCAGCAAGTGACACAACCTGGGCAGGCTTGCTTCCTGTGAGCCCTCAGGACCTGCCCCAACCAACCAACCCCAAGACTCGTATCAACCAGGTGGCCAGAGCCATTCCACTGTTATCCTGGAGGGGACCCATTGCCCACTTTGGCAGGTTGGCCAGTGAGTCCCCCTGTTGGAGCCTGCAGCACAGCATGGCCTCCGCCTGCAAGTAGACAGTGCAGGGGACTAGTTCCCTACAGAGAGAACAAGCCTGCAATGATGCCAGACCCCCCAAAACAGGTGAGCCCCGCTCTGCCCAGTGAGCAGGCAGCCTTTCTACCTGAGGGACCTGGGTCATCTAAGGTTAAGGATGTCTTCTTTCCTCCCCACAGTAGGGTCTGATTCCTACTTTCAACACTCCCAGACTTTCCCACTCCTGGCTTTGCACAGGTGAGCAGGTTGGTGAACACACAGGATTCAAAGACTTGATGGCCCCCTAACCATCCTCCTCTCCTGAATCTGCACCTGACTTTTCCTGCCAGAGAAAAGCTGTGCAGATTGCAAGGCCCATGGGCACCTGTGGCCAGCCTGAGGCGACAGGACACTCAGCCTGCCCCATTAAACACCTCCAACCTGAGCTGAGCCCAGAGAGGGACTGTCACACGTGCCCTCACTACAATACCCAGGCATTGACGCACTGGGTTTGAGCACTTCATAAAAAGAAGATTGCCATTGATCAGTTTGAATGCCAGTTACAATGAAAGGGAAATCTAGAATGAGTTTGGTTTTTTAAAATCATAATACATAGGAAAATCTCCATTCTGCACAGCAGTGCAGAAGCCAGGATGACCAAACGTACTTCATCAGCTCAGGGTCCTCCTTGTCATCCTTGGTGGGTGCCACCTTAAGTCCACTCTTCTTGGCACGTGGGCAGCCTGACAAGCTGGTTTTAAAAGAGGAGAAATGCCACCTCAGTCCCAGAACAGCAGCTCCCTTGCCATCCATCCCATCCCATCCCCTCGAGCTCTGGGACCCCTGCAGGGCAGAAAGAAGCCAGGGCAGATCAATCAGTCAATCAGTCATTTGGAGCACAGTCCACGGACACAGAGCCTTTGCATAGGGCAATAGAGTCAGGAATGGGAAGCACCTTCATGAGCCTCTAGCCTTGACCCTTTGTCTTTATCTCACACTGCAAGGGGCCACTTGACCAGGTTCCAGATGTACCAATAATTCAGATAGATGGAAAAGAGCTCTGATCAGTAGCGACATTAAGAGTGCCTTGTTCTAAACTTTAGAAATTTGTCTAGGACAGAGGCCCCACACATACCCCACCCTGCTGCAGGTCCCTAACTTACCTCCGATGTGAAGCGTAGTTCCCTGTTATATGGCCAGAGCCGTCACAGCCCGGTGTGGGGCACCTGAAGGGGAAAGTGAGATGAGCATGGAGCCTGAGATGGTGTTCACCTCTCTAGGCCTGGCCCTTGAGGAAGCAGATCGCCTTCCCAGCCCAGGGCCCCCGAGGAGCTGCCCTCCTTTAACAGCCACACACCCAGCCTGCTTCTGCCAACAATGGGCATCGACAGGGTCATCTCGAGGCCTTAGCATTTTTCCCATTTTCCCAGGAGCAGGGGTGGGGGTGATCTGGAAGGCTGAGGAGCGAAGCCCAAGGGGCCCAGCTGTACACTAGGCACCAAGGTGAGGTGTGGGGGCCACTGTATCCAAAAGCAAAGATGGACTCCATCTTGGCCATTTATCTGGCTCTAATCTAGACTAGAAGCATCCAGAGTGCACCTGAGCCCTAACTTTAAACACAAGGGCTCAAAGGGCACACCATGCTCCTGAGACAGCTCTGTCCTCCCAGCTGCACTGTGGCCTTGCTCTCAGGGAGAATGCACTGGGGCTCAGGGAAACCAACGGGTGCTCACTGAGCACCTGCCATGTGGCTGCTGCAGGACTGATCCCGGTGCAGTGTGTGCAGAACTCACGTAACCAGTGACTTTGTGTTGGTTACTACCACAGGGTAAGAAGGGAAGACACAAAACACAGAAGTCCAACTTTATACACCCCAAAATGTTTGATGAACACATCATATAAGATGGTAAAATAACACCCTAGTATTATAAGCGTGGATGTTCTTATTTTCTCCCAAATGACAACCAAAATAAAATGTTAGCCCTGGCAGGTGTTAGGATGGGGAGGAGGGCTGACTCAGCAGGTGGGCCTATCTCCCCTTTGGATCTGCTCTGCACTTCACCCCCTTGTGAGGGTGCTGGCCTGCAGGCCAGGTGAGTGCTATTTCTGGCACTCTGCACCAGAGAAGCATCTGGCAGACCTCAGGTGTACACTAATGGTGGTGGTCACTTGGTGGCCAGGGTGGCAGACCCAGGCTTATAGGCAGAGATGAGTGGCACCAGTGGTGACGTGTAGACACACCCATTGGTCCTGGTGAGTCTCAACTGGGCCCATGACTCCCACAGGGAAGCAGGTACTTGACCCATGGCAGGGCTATCCTGCACTTCTTGCTGAGGCCTGATACAATGGCTTTTCCCAAGAGTTGTGTCCAGGAGAAGACAGTTGTCCTAAATATGCTCCTATGAGCTGTACAGGGTCAGTCACAGGAACTGGAGCCCCCACCACCCCTCCCACCACTTGTCTCCAGTTGCCTTGTCTGGGCAAAAGAATCCATGCCTGATGGACATGTTCTGTGTGGGTAGCACACACTGTGACCCCATCTGAGGGCTTTAGGAGTGACCTTGCCCTGTGCAGAGCCTCCCAGGTCCTGTAGATGTGTGGCTCCCCCTGGAGTCCTCAAACACAACTCCTGGGCACACAGTCACACAGAAAGGGGAACAAGTGCCTGTGGGCTTCTCTTATGGGGAAAAATCCTCTTAAGAGTCTTTGCATGTGTTGAGAGGGAAGCCACCAAAAGACTCATCTTCCCCAACCTTGCCAGAGCAACACCCACTCAGGAGGATAAAGAGTGCACCAGGGAACAGAGGCATGGAGGACCCCGCCACCACCACCCACAATCACCAGGCCACACTGTGGTCAGAGAGAAACAGGTGATGGCACCCCAGAAAGACCTCCAGAGCAAAGAGAAGCTCTGGGGAGTGGGGCACATCAGCCCCCCTCCTCCCATGCCTTGCTGAGGCTGAGCAGCTCATTACACACAAGGGAGAATTTTTGCTGCTATTTCTACTGAAGTTTTGTGTTAAAGTTCACAGATTCTCAGTCTCAGGAGGACCCTGACTTCCCAGCAACTGTCTCCTGACAGGATCATGCAAGTTTCCTTCATCAGCCAGGAGCATTGACTAGCTTAGGATATGAAAACCATGAAAACCATCATCATGAGAAAAGAAAGCAGAATTGGAAAGGAAAACAGAATATAAGAAAGATGGCAAGAGATGGGTGGTGTGGGAGCCCCAAGGCTGCAGAACTTAGTGCTCCCACTTTGGGTTTCCAGGCCCAGAAATGGTGGGGCAGAGAGTTAATGAGTAAATGTGTAAGCCCACCTAGGTGCACACCTGCTGTTCACTCTCAGAAGGAAACCCAGTGGGACACTCTCCTCCACAGGGGCTAGAGACAAGGCTGCAGGGTGGGAGCTGGAGACCCAGGATTCCAGTCCTACCCTAAACCAGCCCTGCTCTCCTGAAGCCTTCACACTCTGCTCCTCATCCCAAAGGCTATGTCCAGCTTCTCTCTGGCCCCAAGACCAAGCAAGGGAGTCTTGACCTGGATTCAGGGTCTCCTGATATAAAGCCCACAGGAGGGTGGGCCAGTCCCAGGGACATAAACTACAGAAATGAGAGTGACACCTCCTTCTGCCAAGGCCTCCACTCAGCCCTGGGGCCCAGGATGAGGTCCCTGCAGATCAGGGTCATGGGGTCTATAATGTCACAGCTCAGCCAAAAGCCTGAGAGCCAAAGGAAACAACTGTTTCCAACTCCAATCCCAAGAGGACAGATGCCTTGAAACCTCTGGGTGCCTGCGTCACGTGTGCAGGACACCTCAAGCAGCTGGCTGGTGCCCACAGGGCCTGCCTGCCACGTGTTAGGGGCAGGGAGGTGCAGAAGCAGAAAAGGGGCCAGCAGAGAAGGCAAGAGCAGGGAGGGGAAACACTGGGAGGTGCTGGGACAGAACAGAGCAGCTGAGGGTTGCAGGAGAAGGAAGCAAGGAGCTCTCTTGCACCACTGATTCCATTTCACTCAGCAAGAGCAGCACAGCCTGCAGCCACTAGTCATGGCAGGACTGGTAAGCCACAGCCAGTTCTGGCCTTTCTTTAGATCTCTAGGGCTATGGACAAAGCAGACCCAGGCAGCCCTGTGGGACCCTCCAGAGAGGCTGGGGAGGGGCCAGGACTGTGCAGGAAGCTGTGTCAGCCCTGGCTCCAGCCCAGGGGAGAAGCAATGGCAGTACCAGAGCAGGGCCACAGGTGGCAGCGCAGCCCCAGCCAGGCAGAAGCAGCCCTTCCTCAGGCATGGCCCCTGCCCACTCCAGGAGAGCAGTGACCAGCCCAGGTGGCATCTTGGAGAGAGCTGACTTTGGCAGGAGCCTCATGAAGGAAAGAGCAAAGCAAGGGAACTGCCCAAGAGACAGGGGGTCAGGGAGCGCAAACATACTTGAGGTCAGCAGAGTGGGCAGCCATGAGGTTTCTGAGGCTCTTGTCAGCAAGAGGGCAACCAGAGAGGCTGAAAGAGAAGAGATGGGATACGGGGTAAGCCACAGAGGGGGAGCAGAGAAGGAGAAGAGGAAGACCCCCCAGAAAGCACCATGGCCCGGCCAGAGGAGCAGGGGACGAACCTGCGGTGGGAGGCATAGTTCCCAGTGATGTGGCCACTGCCGTCACAGCCAGGGGTGGGACAACTGGACAAAGGAAAAAGAGCATCAGAACCCAGCACGACGTGCACTGCAGGTGCTGCAGTGGGCGGCCAGGCCTCCTCCTGGCCCCCCAGCCCCCGGGGGAGAGCCCTCGCCCCAGACTGGAAGCTTGCCCCACACAGCTTAACTCAAGAAGGAAAAGCTGGACTTGAAGTTAAGATGCCTCCGAAGCACAGGTGCTGAGCCTTAGCACAGGTGCTGTGTGTGCTCATGTCTGGACACGTAGGCAGGGCCCTTCCCACTTCAGCTCCTGAAGCAGCATGTCCTCCCCTCAGGATAAGAACCTGGGACCAGCACCCAGGGAAGGTCAGCCCCAAGGCAGAAGGGCATGCATGAGTGGGGCTCTGGGTGGGGAGAGGAGGACCGGGTCACTCTGGCACAGGTGCCAGGCACAGCCCCCCACAATCCTCTAGGGGAAGAAGGTGGTTGGCAGTCTGGGGTGAAACAGTGGCTGCTGGAGCTGAGGGTGGAGACCAGGCAGTGTGCTCTGGGCCCAGGCAGGGGTCTAGCTGTGGAGAGAGGGCTGGGCCTCTGTTGCACCGAGGGTTCCTGTGGAGTTTCTGTTCGTGACTCCTTGGTCCCCGTCCTGCTCTGCTCTGTCCTGCTCTGCAGGCTGGCCAAAGACTCTTCCTTGTTCTTAATTGCTTTAGAGGATCACATTAATGCCCAGCACAGCAGTAACAGGAAATGTCTGTCACCATGAGGGCTGCCTGGCTGAAGGTGGTGGAGCCAGGCAGGAGAGGCCCTGAACTGAGACAACCCAGCTGCTGTAGGTGATGACCAGGCCTGCTCCTCCCAGACGGCAGGGGTGACAGCTTACGTGAGCAGCTCCTTCTTTATGTCCTTAGAGAGAAACTTCAGCTTGAAGTTGGTCAGGGTGACTTCTCCTGGGTACTTCCGCTCTTCAAAGTTCTCTTCTGACACCTCCTGGTCATCTGCTTCAGAAGAAGCAAAAGAATGTGCTGCTGGCTCTGACTGCAAAAAACCAGCAGGGAGATGTTTTAACGGCTGGCGGGGAGGCCCGGGCACCTAACCCGGTGAGTGAGAGAGAGGGACCTTTCAAGACAGTGTCCACGAGGCATTTCCTGGGATTCTTGCCTTTTGGAGGAGGGAAAAGGCCCAGTTCCCCCAGGAAACACAGAGGGCATCTTGTGGCCTGGACCCATCCCACACCAGAGCTCCTGGACAACAAGATTCAGGATTCTGTACTGCCTGTCCTCAGGCCACCTCCACCAGGTCACCCCACAGTATGAACACCTGGGAAAAGAATCCTCGGGCAAGGATGGTGCCCAGATGTCGCAGACCCTAGTTAGGAGGCTGCACTGGTGACAATCTGTTATGACCTGGTAACCCCACCACCACCACCACCACCAAGTGTGGTTCTTCACAAGTCACCAGCTAAATACAGGCTCTGGAAGACAGTTCACCAACACTTAGATGGGCAAGAAACAGCTCCTCCCAGTAAGGACAGGGCTCCAGCAGGGTCGGGACAGCCAAAGTCCTGCAGGACGGCTACACCATTCCAGGGCTGGCACCCACTTGCCATGGGTCCCAGTACACTGTTCAGGCACTGCTTCCGCAGACCTGAGAGACAGTAATAAGGAAGTGCCCATGGGGCCAGACAACTCAGGAACTGGCAGTAGACCTGGTCAAGAGACTGGTGCTGCCTTTGCTCCACTGAACAGGCTCAGGGAAAGAAACTTATTTGCCCTAGCAGTTGGAGGAAGCTCCTTGGCAAACATGCCCAGCCTCAGGATATGTGAGGGCTCCCAGAAATAGAGGGGAAGAGATTTTCCCAGAGCCCCATGGACACAAGTGGACTAGAGTACCTGGGGACAGAAAGGATGGGCTGCTATGGCAGTGTGGGACCTCAGGCAGGGCTGGCAGGAGGGTCTGAGTCAGGAATCCAGGACAGAGATGGAGGGACAGAAGGGCTGGACTCAGGAGGCGCTTCTGGGGGTGACCTGTGCCTAGGAGGTGGGTGGGGGAAGAGGCAGAGTTTGGGGATGAGCCAAGGCTACTTGATGCAGAGTAGATGATCGGCCACCACTGGTGAGACAGGCTTCAGTGGGGGGAATTTAGGACCTCTGAAACAGAGTCACCCTATAGATGGTCACTGATTCCTGGAGGTAAAGATGTGACCCAAAAATATGTGTTAAGAGAAGAGGGGGACCAAAGCAGCCTGGAGAGACCAGCACTGAGCAGAGGCCAAGAAAGGGGCAGAGGAGGGCCCAGAACACCAACTCACTGGGCCCAGAAGGCAGCTGGCGGCTAAGTCAGGCCATGGGCTTGTGGGAGGTTGAGTCCTGGGAGTAGGGTGTGAGTGCAGAAGCTTCTAGACCTCCAGATAAGAGCTGGTAGTGGGAATACTACATGCCACCAGGCAGGGCTCCTGCCCACCCTGGGGAGGAAATCGGCCTTAGGTGACCAGGCAGAGGCAGTCCCAGGTGCAGGACTCAGCCTGTGCCACCTCCTCCAGGACCTGACATCTGATGGGGGCAATGTGACCTAGTCAGGGAGCCCAGTCTATCCCTCTATAAAATGGGTGATCCTGAGTCCCACCCCCGGGTCAAATGAGGAGCCTGGCTCACAGTGGGTTGGGCCAGGAGGGGGCCTTACCACACCTCCCCATGCCTCCTTGGGCACTTGGCTCCATCCCCTGCAGATCCCTCTGGGATCCCCTCCAGAGGAGTCTGGAAAAGGGAGAAGTATGGGGAGCCTACAGGCCTCATGCTGCCTGGACCCTATGTGTCCTTGGAGCTGTCCGGTTCCTTGGGAGGCCCTCTCCTAGGGGAAAAGCCCCAGTGAGCCCATGCCCAGGGCTCTTCATCTTACATGTCAGATAGATAGGACGATGGGAAAGGGAAGTCCCCACAGCTCCAACACCAATGCTTGAGCTACCTCCTCTTTACCAGGTTAGTACTGGTCTGGGGGACTCAGGCCACTGCCCACCATGGAGGCCTCACATACAAGAGGGATCTGAGGCGGAAGTCACTCACTATCTTGGCCCAAGGAACCCAGTAGCTGAGACCCTGTCTGGATAGCAGATGTGTTTTTCAGGTGGGTGGGAGGCTCACAAAACCAAAGAAACCTGAGCTTTCTCCAAATCAGCCCCATGGAATCTGAAATAATGCCCTCTCCTCCCCACACTCCAGGACCGTTCCCATTGGTCCTGACCATGCATTCTGCAAGGTGAGAAGACCACTTCTGTCGATGGACAATGCTGAAATGGCTAAGCAGGAGAAACCCTTCCTGGAGGGCAATCCCTGAGTCCCAGCTGCCCAGAGGGCGAAGGCTCCTGTGTGCAAAGGAAGGGACCCCAAAGTCCTACCAGAGCCAAGAGGTGTACGTAGCCTCTAGGAAGTGAGCAGCTGCTCCACCTGATCCCCCTCTTGTGCCGGCCCGCCCCACACCTACCTCATCAGGCTCCTCTTCTCGTAGACGGCTGGGCTTAGTGTAGTCTAGGGGCCGGTCCCACTCATCCTGACGGGAGGCCTGGCTGGACTGGGGCGAGGTCATGGAGCTGCTGGGAGCACTGGTGCTGCTCTGGCGCTGGGAGGTGTCGGGAGACTTGACACCAGGGCTGCTGCTGCAGCTGCTGCTGCTAGGGAAAGCTCCCTCCCGCTGGCGGCGCTTGTGCATGCTCAAGTCCAGTGTTCCATTTTCATCCACCTCAATGTCCACAGACTAGGTTGGAAGATGAAAAACACATGTGAGGGCCAACCCTCCTCACACCAGCTGCTGCATCCCCACTACAAGAGAGGTCCTGCAAGAGTAGGCCCCTCCAAGGCCAGGAGTGAAGTTAAGTATGAGAATTGCCAACTCGACCCTAGCTATTCCTGGAAGCATCTCCTGCAGGGAGTGGGTGGGCCTGGCTGCAGTCCCACCCACTCACGCCTCCTGGGAAACTGCAGAGAGCATGCCCACCTTGCTGGGTAGGTCCTGTGGCTTGGTGCTGAGGTTCTCTGGCATCTCCCAGCAGCGGGTGGAGAGGTTCAGGATGGCAGTGGCGGCCATGTGCGCAGCCTCAGCGTCGTGTGAGTAGTCGAAGCCTGCAGAAGAGGGTGGGGTGCTCCTCACATAACTACTGGGGGGCTGTGCCTCAGGGGAGGAGGCCTTTGGGGAAGGTTTGGCTGCAAAAAGGGAACAACACCGCTGACTTAGACAGGGACAGAGATGGCAAACGCATGGGGTGTGCTGGGGTCAAAGCACAGCCACTGCAATGTGGGCTTGGGCACAGCTGTTCACCCCTCCAATGCTCCCCCCCGCTCAGCCCTGAAGAGACCTCTCATTTCTGGCCTGACCAAGATCTAAGCAGAAAGAACAAAACTGTCCAAAGACATCCCAGCAGCCCTGGTGTTCCAAGCAAAAATAATGTGTCCATTAGCAAATGCCTGGTGAGAGACTGGAGAGTTCTGTGGAAAGGGTGTTTGGAATGTCACTCCTGGGGAACATTTTGTCACATGGTATCAGAAGATATTACCACATCTCAGCTGACTTTGCACGCCTAGTTAGTAGCTCCTGCCTTAACAAAGCAGCATTAGGGACCAGACAACACAAATGAGGGAGTGAAATGTCTTCTCCCAGAAATGCTCTTCTGCGTGACACCGAGCAACCAAAAACACCAGTGTTTCCAGCTCTAGCTAGTGAAATGCTCCTGGAGGGCCCTGAATAGCCTGCAGGCACACAGGCCCAGTCCTGGTGCACAGGCTCTCTCTGCTACAGGGAGGAAGAGCCTCCCACCCAGGAGGTTCTTCCAGGGGCAACTCAGGAGCAGCAGAGAACTCCTCTTGGGCTGCCCCACATCCACCGGGAGGCACTAACCCTAGTCACGGTGTACTGTGTGCTTTTCCACCTTGCATCATTTCCAACACTGGCAAATCAGTGCAATGAAGAAAAAGAAAAGATGGGAGGTTGTTCTAAAAGTTATGCAGGAACAATTTTTATCAATACAAATGTTGCTGATGCCATAAACAGCATTTCCAATGAGATGGTCCCTGTGCAAGAAAGCAAGTGGCTTCCTGCCAGGGTAAAAGTCCTGTCCCACCCCACAGTCTGACCCTCCCCAGTGGCATTGCTAGGAGTAAACTCCCCACTGCATTGGGAAAGGGGGCCCTCTCAGGGTGAGCCACGTCAGTGAAGTTATTCTTAAGTCTCTGGACATACACCCATAAAGGACCTGGTTTTGCTTCACAGATACTTAGGAAACATGTAAGGTCCCCAGAAGCACATGGAGAGACGTGGGCCTCAAGGAAGCCATAGCAGTTACCCCAGGGCATCCAACACCTCGGACTTCCATCTTAGTCCCTTCTAGCTCCTCAGAACACTGGGCCCACCCTCCCAAAAGCAATGCAAGAAGAAAGACAAGAATGATTCTCCCCAACTTACATTGGAAGGCTTTGGGTGAGGTTTCGCTGGTCTGAATCTTTGGGGCAAGCATACGTTTGCCAAAAACCTGAGCGTCAAAACTTGCGTAATCAAAGGTGACCTTGGAGAACTTCTCTAGCTCCTTGGCCAAGTTGGCCCTCGGTGTGGCAGGAGCCACGTTGGGCCGGTAGCTCCCATAAGGAGGGACCTCAAGCTGCTTCACAAAGCACATGGGCCTGGAATGGGACAGAGATCAGAGCCTGTGAGGGACAGGGAAACAATGCCACCCTCCCTGTCCTATCCTACAGCCCAGGCAGGAAGCCCTTGTAGCCCATTGAGAACGGAGACCCAGGGAGACACCCCCATAGCCTACCCCTGAAGACCATCAGAATGCCAGCTCCTGTGGCAGGCTTGTGATCAGTACAAGGAAGGACTACTCACCAGGAGGCAGCAATAAGAACACGCAAGGAAGAGCACTACCTCCTCGTGCAGACGGCAGTGGCCAGAGGAAACGGCCTGAAACTGCCCTCCAGCTCAACTACAGTTGGCAAGCCCTCAGCAGGGAGCCCAGCTGTAGCACAGCCCAGCGCAATGGTGGACCACTACCTAGCAGAACAGCCTAGCACTCCAGCAAGGAGGACATCAGGATGTCTGGGGGGGGACACTGGCTTGAAAGTAACATCATGGCCTTTGGCCCCCTGACCCAGTTCTTCCTCAGGCAAGGACTTAGTGGACCTCTTCTCAGATCTGGGTGAAGACAGCCACATGAGGGTTTGCTAAAAGGGTTAGCAGCAGGCATGAAAAGGCCACAGAAAGCTTGTGGTCCACTGAGGTCCACTGAAGAGTCCTTGGGAAAGGGTTTGTACAGCAAGGGAACAGAAAGGGAGGCAGGCTGCGGGGGCGGGGAGAGTGAGACCAACGAGCACAGAGGGCGTTCTGAACCAGTCCGCTCAGAGAAGCGGGGAGACAGCCCCAGTGGGCACCCAGCAGTCCTTGTCCTTATCTGGACCAAGCAGTGACTTCAGTGATTTGTGAGGTATGAGAATGGGTGAGGCCTCCAAGCACGAGGCACTCTAAGAACTTGAATGTGGCCTCAGAAGAGAAGCACCAGGTAACCTACAGCTTCAGGCCAGCTCTGAAGGGCCTGGAAAGACCAGACAGCACCCGAGTATGGGATGCACCTAGCATCAGGAAGGAAGGGGCCCAGGCTAGACTGGCCAGCAGTACCTGGGGAGGCTGCAGCACATGGCCACTGGGCTTCAGCAGGGACACACTGACTCTGACCTTAGCAACTGTGCCACTTTTTCCTTGGCCAGTGTTTTGCCAGGATCTTTAGACTTGGGGTCATAGATACCAAAGAAGCTTTGCAAAGCCTTTCCTCACACCCCAGGCTAGGACCCCAGAAATGTGGGCCAGATGGAATCAGCAGCCCAGAAGATGGCTCCTGCACTTGGCACCGCTGCAGGTCAGGTGCTCAGCAGGGACCGGGGAATGCAGCATGTCGATGAAGCCTGATAAGAACTTTGGAGTTCCAGAGGTGGACAAACAGGTCCCAGTCCCCTCCAAGTCCAGGGCCTGTTTCTCCCCCTAACCTCAGCAGGCATTATACCCAGGATGTTTTAATATTTTATCAGTTACTTAGATCATGTCAGGGAAAGGATCAAATTAGCAACTGACAGAAAGCTGGAAAGAAAAGCAAAGAGTATGGAGGAAAGAAGCTGCTTCAAACCATCTGGGAACCAGCCATCAGGAACATACCAGCGGGAACCTGCACGGCCACAAGAGCCCATGGATGGAACATGAGCACGCCCACCCATGAGCAGGAAGTTGAGCCCTGTCCCAGCCAGAGATGCAATGAATGGGAATACTGCTTCTGAGGGACTCTCTAGAAAAGCCAGTCAAGGGCCAGAGTGTGGCACAGCCATGGTTGGCAGCCAAAATCTTCTGACTGAGGTTCTGCAGGCCCATGTCAGGAAAGGCAGAGGGTGGTAGCCATGGAGGCCCACAAAGAGGTGGCAGCACTGTGTCAGCCAGGGCTTGGCCTCCGCTGGGCATGATGGCCTGTCTCCTGTGCGCCTGTGTGGGGGGACAGAACTTGGAACAAGGATAGGAGAACCAGGGAAAGAGAGAAATGAGCAAGCTTGTTAGAGAAACGGCGACGAGCAGGGGAAATGAGTCATGGAGCCTCTTGGCCCCACCAGGTGGAAGACTGCAGTTGAGAATAAGGCTCTGACAACAGACCAGTCAGGAGGTGCAGCCTTGAGAAAGTGCCCAGACCTCTGAGTTTATCTGTGAAACCCAGATCCCAGGGTCACCTGTATGGAGGGAGATAAGCAGATGCATCCTGGGAGGTTTTTCAGAAAGTCCCTGCATTGCTGAGAGTATTCTACAAATGCATACACACACGCAGTTGCACACACATGTAAATGTATCATGGATGCACACACCCACACAGGTGTGCAAACCTACAAGCCAATACATACACGAGCCCAGTGTTGCCTCCGATGCTCACAGACCACACAGGAGGCAGTGCTGGGAGCAAGGCCTACACCCTTCCTTCTCCCTTGCCTTAGGGTCTATCCTAGGATGGAAAGACAGACAGGACAGACAGGAATTAGTGCCATGGTGCTCCCTGGATGTTTGCTGTCCTGGGATGGTATGGTCTGCTGTCTCCAGATAGGAACGGGGTCTTCTCTACAGATGGAGCAAGTGCCTTGAGAACAGCACGGCAAAGCAGCCTGTGCCTAAGACCAGAGTGCTCATGCAGGTTTGTGCCTTGGATGAGGGTCTCGTGAGTGCCACAGCAGGGGATTCTCCTGTGGGATGAGTGGTGCATATGAGTGGTTCTGTAGCTCATATCACCCACCTGAGGATCCGATCTGAATTGGAGCTATTCTTGGAAGGATCTCCTGTCTGTGGTGGCTGCTTCTCATGAGATTTGGCTAATTTTTCAGCAGCAGCAATGGGACACCCAGACAAACTAGAGGAAAGAAAAGGAGAGAAACCTGAGTCTTTTCTTCCAGGCCAGGCTGTCCTGGGTGGCCAGGTGTGTGGGTTTGAGAGTAGCATCATTCAGTGAGAATCCCAGGTGTATTCCTGACTCATTCCCACAGGACAAAGTTTTCTCTCTGGCTCTGTCCTGAGTCCTCAAAGTACAAGTTGCTTATTTCTGTTTTGGAAAATTTATGCCAGTGACACACAAAAATGAAATGCCTACTAAAGGGTAGTGAAGCCCAGACAGAAACACCTTCTTCGGCTAGGCCTGGCACCAGGCTTCCCTCTGACTTTCTGGTCATTCGCCAGCTCCCAGGGCCAGGCTCTGGAACCTCTCTGGATGACGTCTGTAAGTTGACTTGGGGGAACCAAGGGCCCCACTCAGACCACAACTTGGGCACTATCCCTGGAAGATTCTGTACCTTCCTAGGAAAGTGACCAGGATAAGGGCAGAGCAGTTCCACCTGTCAAAACTGGGTTGACAGTGAGCTCAGGAGCCAGCTCTAGGACATGGGGGTGACACAATCACATTGTTTGGGAACTCGGTCTCTTGTCCAATGAACTGAGCCTGAGAGCTCTGGCACTTTCTCCATCTGAGTGTGTGCCCACGGGGGCCCAGGCACATCCTGTAGGGTATGGCTGACCATTGCTCTCAGATGAGCTAGAACCATGGACCCCTCTCATGGAGGGAGATGACCAACAACTAAATATAGTCAGTGGCCTGGAAGCTTCATGTCCACCTGCTCTGCACTTGCTCAGAAAAGCCCAGAGTGTAGCCCTGTCCCCTGAGCTCCCTGCTTATGTCTACATTTGTCGCTCACCCACGAACAGAGGTCTTCCAAATGGTCAAGACACAAAGTCGTCACCTGGCCCTCTGCACAAGGGTCAGACCTTTCAGAACAGGCACATGTTCACCCCCAGTCAAAGGGGTGTGGGCAGCCACACAGCAGGGGGTCAGAGCTCCAGGTGCCACTCCGTCCATACAAAGGCCCCTCGGATACGCACAGGCCCTCACCTTGTAACTGCGGCATCAAGCAGCTGCAGGGAAGCTGCTATCACTCAGGGGCCCCATGTCAGGCCAGAGCCCATCCCAGGTGAGGGCTCGAGGCCAGGGCGAGCACATACACCATACGCCCAGCCCAGGTTCCCCACCACAGCCTAGATCAACCCAGGTACCTTCTATGTGTGTTGCGGTTGCTGTTCACATGGCCCTGGCCCGTGCAGCCAGGAGTGGGACACTTCAGCACATTCTCATGCATGGCCAAGACTGTAAGAAAACCAGAGAAGGCAGACAGCGATGACCTGGTATGGGGGGAGAACCGCCCAAGGAGGCTACAGGAGCCCTGACTGAAGCCTGCAGCTTTGTAGGCAGAGAAGAGCCATAGTAGCTTGAGGCAGCAGCTCAGGGTGACTGCCTCTGTAGAGTCTGTAAACGTAAGCCCACCCTCAGCCAGGTGAGGCGTGTCCCTTCACCATGGACTCCTCCTGGGTCAGAATCTAGAGTTTACTTTGAAACCTCTTATTTTTCTGTTTTGCAGTTCTCAGCTTCCAACCTGAAAGTACAGACTCCACCTTCCCTCTCAGCTGACAGCCAGGGTCTATGCAACTTCCTAGGGTTCTGACCAAGACTGGCATCTCCAGGCAGAAATGGGCAGGCTGCTGTCCCCAGCCATGTCACAGGGCTAAATTTCAGGCTTAGGCAGTTTGAGGGAAACCTAAGACACAAGGCCCTGGACAGGCTGCCCCTCCCATGGACTCCTCCAAATACCCTGCATGGAGCTACTCACTCTCTGGGGGGATCCTGTCCTTATGGGGACAGCCAGACAGGCTGCGGTGGTGAGGATACAACCCAGTAACATGGCCAGTGCCATCACAACCTGGTGTTGGACACTTGATCTCACGCTTCTCAGCTCTTGAAGCATCTGAAACACACAAGACATGCCACATAGAGCTAGGAGGCTGGGCAGGGGAATGGGCAGGGAGATGCAGGTACCACTCACACCCCTCACTCTGGCTGTCCAGAGAGAAGGGAGGCAAGACCACCCAGGACCCCAAAGGCACAGGAACTGAACAGCAGGTGCCCCTGGAGAAGCTGGTCCAAAACCCAGAGGCATCTACCCCTAAAACAGGGCAAGCAGCATTGTGAAGAGAACCATCCGTGTGGGATGGAGTCTCTGCCCCTCCTTCTGGGTATGGAGGCATGTGGGCAACCCTCTGTAAGGCAGGGGAAGTCAGTTTGCCTCCCACTGCCAGGGTGTCCTTGGGATTTGACAAAAAGAGGAGGACAGAGTTTAAGGAGATTATCTACAGCTTCATAGCTAAGAAATGCCTATGCAGAATTCCATACCAGATCTCAATCCTTGGCTTCCTCTGGCCTCTGCAGGCCCAGGTAGGTCACTATTGAATGTGGGGATCAGAAGGACATGGAAGAACCTCAAAGCAAAGCCACATCTCAGAGATGCTCTTTCTGGATGGGCCACCTTTCAGGAGGGAAGGATGTCCCCAAGCTCAGAGTCCCAACCCATAAGGCAGGGCAGGAATTTAGAGTTTCACCCATCAAGCACCAGGGTGCCTGTGCCCAACCCCTGTCTTGGTCCAGAGCTCTCAATGAATCCACTCCCCAGTCCACCACTGTTTCAATGCAGGAGGATGTACTTCTGTCCACACGGGCTGACAATGCTGCCCCGTGCCCTCAGCTCAGCCACCATGTCCTTACTTCAGGAACAGGTACTCTGCACCTGAAAGTCCCTCTACACCTGAACCCAGGCTGCCCTCGGTGAGCCACCAAAGTGTGCCCTGACCTGCAGACCTGCAGCTGACAAGCCCAGGCCCTGCACCTGTCCCTGAGTCTGCCCCACCCTCAGCCTGTGTGTCCAGGTTCCCAGGCCCCAAGTTCTGAGCCTGGCTTCCATCTGGGCCCCCAGACAGTAACCCCGATCTGTGTCACCAGAAAGGTATCCCCTCAAGAGTCACTGTCCAGGCCCTCCTCATGCTGAAATCATATCCCTGCCTGTGCCCCTCATTATCTGTCCCCTATGTGTGGGTCTTTCCAGAAATTGTGTTCCCTGTCTCTGCCCACCTGGCTATGGTGCTCTGAGCTACCTCTCACTCCAGGCTCTCTCCGGGTGACCTAGATGTGTCTTCCAGGGGTCACCCCATGTACACGTCTCTTGTCTTTTTGGTTCCTGACTCCAGCATCTGAATCAACCCCAGCCCTCAACTCCCTCCTTATCTGGCCAGTCTCTGGTGTAAGTCAACCCTCCCCAGGGTGGGCAGAGGAAGGGCACAGGGAGTACTACTGCCCAATCCATCCAGAGAAGAGAGCCTGGCCTGGGATAAAAAAGAGGAGTCAGGGGTCAGGGCAGCTCCCTGATCTTAGAGGCCAAATTCAGGCCCAAATACAGAGCCAACCACAGGCCACTCCCTTAGGAAAGCAAGAGTCAGACAGACATCCCTTGCTCCCCGCCTGCCCCCCCACACACATCTCAGTCTCAGATGTCTTCCCAGACTCCCTGCATAAAGTGGCACAAGCCTGCTCCCCTGCTCCCTGCAGCTTGGCCCATGGTCCTGTGAGTACTTGCCCCTGTCTGATCTTCTGTCCTCCCCACACCCCATCTCTGTCAGTAAGGGCGTCTAGCTGTGTCTCTCCCTCAGCCTGTACTCCACACCTGGAAGCCAGGAGGGAGGTGGGAGTGCAGGGCAGATCACTGCTAGCCTACCTTTACTGTAGCAGCTCTTCCGCACAGCATCCAGGGGCTTGGCCGACTTCCCGGGCTCACCTGGGCCCAACTGGCCCTGCTCAGCAGGCGGGCAGCCTGGCTCACAGACGGTGCGCACCTGTTCAGCCTTCAGGGCGATGGCCTGCTCCAGAAGGCCCAGGTTCCCTCGGGTCATCATATCGTACATCTCCGACTCATCCGTGACCGCTGACTTCTGGGACCCTGCATCCTCCTCCTTGTCATCATCAGAGCGGACCTCCACAATGACGGAGTACTCAGGCTTGGGACTGGGCAGCTCTAGGCGCCGGGGCTCGGGGGACTTCTGGGCAGAGTTATGGGAGGCATCCTCCTCAAAGATCACCTCAGGAGTGGCCTCCTCCTCCCCTTCTTCCTCCTCCTCCTCCTCCTCCTCCTCTTCCTCCTCCTCCACCTCCTCCTCCTCCTCCTCTTCCTCTTCTTCTTCCTCCTCTTCCTCCTCATCCTCCTCTTCCTCCTCCTCATGGCCCAGGACACCTTTCTGCTTGCTGGAATCCTCGCTGGCCTCGTCCTCCAGGGACTGGGGACACGGCTCCTGGGAACGCTCACTGGTGACTTCAATGACTTCCTCTGCATCCTCTGGCTGGATAAAGAGATCTTTCTCCCCCTCGTCACTGGTGGCCCCCTCCACAACCTCCTCCTGAAGCAGGTGCAAAACACTGGGGCCCGTCTTGGCCACCTGGCCCGAGTCCTCCCCCACCAGGGTCTCTCCAGCAATTTGGCCCAGGTTGAGGAGAGAAGTTGCGATGATTCCCTGGCAGCTGCTGTAGCTGCCCTTGGAGGAGCCAGTGGGACTGCCGATGGGGTTAGGTCCAAAATGGGACTTGACAGGGCTCCTTCCTGCACAAAATCAGAAACGCCATGGGGGCTGGAGGAGAGTGTGTGGGGAGCATCCAGGTCTCTGGCTCCCAGCAGCAGCCCCACCCTGCCCCACCCACCCTCCCTCAGCACAGCCCAGGAGACTGGGAAGTCCGGATGTGGGGGCCAGGTGTGGTTGTTCCTGCCAGCCCTCTGCCTGAATCCAGAGATCATGGAGAACTTGTTAGGAGGTCATAAGCCACTGCTGCATTTTTAAAATTGAGGATTACTTTGATATTTTTGAATTCATGTTTCTTCTCCATTACATTTTATACAAAGGAGCTTAAAAAGCAAATCAGATTTTTAAAAATTATTTCATGATTGAGAAGCATTTTTATCTTTAAAGGATTAAAATTTAAGTCTTCAGCCACAATAACTAAGGCGTGGTCACTACACGCAGACCCTGTGGGACTTGGGCCAGCACTCCTGGCAACAGTGGGAGCCACTCTACCATCCACATGCACCAGGGTAGATGCTCTAGCCACAGTGCCCAGCCCAGGGCATTGGACACAGGAGCTCTTCTTCCAGGAGCAGGCAAGTCAGAATTTCTCCACCTGGAACACAGGCTGGCTTGGTTCCATGAGCCCCTTACTCACTCCAGAGCCCCAGGGAAAGGCAAGAGCCCCATCCTGGATTTCTCCTAAAGAAAAACAGACTCCATCCCAGCCCTGAAACTCAGATGACACCAGACACTGCGGGGGCAGTAGGGGTTGGCCTAGAGCCTCACCCTGACCCTGGACTCCACGGATCTGCCAGGGCTCTTGAGAATGAGACAGACCCTTCCCTTGTGGCTCAGGGGCCACCTTTACCCACATTTGCCAAGGGCTGTGCCCCCATTATGGCCAGCCATGGTGGGCTCCACAGGGAAGCAGGCCCCTCAGCCTCCACTCGCCCCCTCTCGGCTTCCCCAGGCACCCCACCTTCAGAGGCCCCACTTGATTCCCCACCACCTAAGGCTTAATCTGAGGCACCTCCTCAGCACCTGCCCCTCAGTGTTTGAGGACAAGCAGACCCACCCAGGCAGATTTCGCAGAGGGCCAGGCAGGACACACTCCAAGAGCCACCCACAGAGACACACCATGACCGTGGAAGCACACTAGCCCCATGTGCACACAGGCCCTCCAGTCTCTCCCTGTTCGGTGTTCGCACACACCACAGACCACGTGCCCTGTGCAGGCCCCCCCCCGCCCCCTCCCCCGCCCAGGGAATGAGCACAGGTCAGGACAAGACAGTCCTTGTTCTCAGGAAGACTCCCTCGCTCGGCGTGAGCTCCCTCCCGCTCATAGGCTGCATTCTCCAGGCCACACTAAGCGCCCTTTATTCGCAGGAGAAAGAGCAACAAAGCACCTTCAGCTGGCTCAGGACGATGAATCTCCTCCTGTCCCAGCATCTCGGCCTCAGCCTCCTCCAGAGTTCCTTCTGATTCATCCGAAACAGAGGCTTCCTTCACCTCGGCCTCCTCGCTGCCATCACTGTCCACACTGTAGCCCTCGTCCAGAGCCAGCTTCAGGGGGTGAGACTTCCTCTTAGACACCAGGTGCTCGGCCTCCGTGCCCTCCAGCTTCCTCTTCTTGGCCAGTGGGCAACTCTGTAAACTGGAAGGGAGAGGAGGGTGAGGGTAGAGCCAGGTCAGGGCCATGGGAGGCCTCGGAGGCCTGGTGAGCAGCCCCCTCTGCAGCCACTCTGACTGGAAGCCCCAAGCCCCAAGATGTATTTGAAATTCTGTATCTAATTATGTATGTTTAAAAGTTCCTAGGGGTTGGGGGTGTAGCTCAGTCATAGAGCACTTGCCCAGCATGAGCTGGGCCATGGTCCAATCCCTAATTGCATTACAACTGGCAGCCACATCCACACCTAGAGCAGGACTCCTGGACCCTCAAGGGCTGCTGACCCAGGCTCCTCCTCTCCTAGGGACCCATGAGACCTGACCCACATCCCACATGCTCTCGAGCAGATCCTGGACGTCTACTGCACCCCAGTCTTCCCCTCACCTGAGACTGCTGCACCCACACCCACCCTGCGAACTTGCACTGCAGGGGACACTCAAGGCCAAGCTGACCACATGAGGCAACCACACTGACAACCCAGCAGCAGCCTACACCATCCCCACTGTGCACCAGGCCAGTTCCAAACTCGGCTGCACAGGCACATCCAGTGCTTGCAGCAGCCCCCGGTGGGAAAACCAGGTGCAGAGCAGAGTTCATCTAGCTACTGCTCTGGCAAGCTCTGCCCAGTTGGCCTCCTCAAGGCCCCGGGAACACGGTCCACTTGGGACTCTATGGCTCAGAAGGGCGGGGGTCAGCCTGGTCTCAGCAGGCTGCAGATAGAAATGAAAGGTTCTGGCTCACAGAAGGTCCCAGGGCAGGGGAAGGGCCACCCCGGGTGAGACGAGGACTGTTTACCTGCGGTGCCTGGAGTACTTGCCCCGGACATGTCCAGATCCTGTGCATCCTGGGGTGGGACAGCTGAGGAGACAAGCAGGACAGGTCACCTCAGGCAACAAGATCTGGGCTCAGGGGTATCCCAATCCTGACTCTGGGGAGAGGGGATGGCCTCCCAACAGCTCATCACAGCATGGGCCCTGGCAGTTTGCTGAAAATTAGTGAAATAACTCACCCCATTTAAATAAATGAATGGCTTGTTATAGTGTTATGAGTGTGGTTAATTAAAGTTCTGTGTGAATGAGAGCAAGGCATCTGCTGAACGGACATCTTTCCCCATTGCAGACCGTCTGTCAGCATGAGCAGATCAGTAGGAACCCATGAGCACTGGCAGCCGGGATGTGACTCTTCGAGGTGCCCTCCTGGAAGGGCAGTACAGAGGGGCATTTTGGAACATGAGGTCAGGGTCTGCCACACCTGGTACTCCTGGGGGCTGCAAGGAGCTGCCAATACCCCAAAGCACTGCAGAGCAGCAAGCCAGGGAAACCAAGAGAGATCCCCTGAGGGAGGGGTGAGGCAAGCCTGAGCCCCCACAGGAGACCCTGGAGGCCCCACTGTTCACAAGATTGCTGAAGCAGTCTGAGTCCTGCCTGGGGTCAGCTTTCCAAAAACATGGCACTTCTTCCCACAGCCTGCAAAGGGGGGGCAGGTGGGGTCACAACCCCACCTTTGTCCAGATACCCCCAATGGTTTTAGTGTGACTGACCATGGCCTAACTGCAGCTTGGAGCCCAAATGGCCCTGCAGACCACATTCACCAACCACGTCAGGGGTCGCCAGAACTGTCTGTAACAGAGCCACAGTCTCCCAGCGAAGCCTGCGACACACCCCTCCCCCATAGGCCACCACACACTCCAGGGCTGACGCTTGGTGTGCTGAGAAGCCAGGAAGAGGCTGGCGGAAGGGAGGGAGGGAGGGCGGGGAGGGACCCCAGCTAGTTTCCTTCCCAGACAGAGGGGAGGCCGCTACCCCTGGAGGCCCACACTTGCTCTCACTCTCTCAAGAAATAGCTTTGAGACTTTTCACAAAAAGCTCCTTGTTATTGAGGATTTGAAGCTGAGGTCCCAATTAGTCGATTAATCACTGAGTTAATCAGGCAATTAGGCGACAGCTGCTGCGGAGGCCTGGGGGGCACTGCACTGCCCCACACACGTCACCTGCTCCAAGCCACCCGCCACCCTGTACAGAAGAGTCCTGGTCCCCAGCCAGGTGGACTGGCATCTTCCCATCCTGCCACCCAGGGTGAGGGCCCCAGCTGTGGGCCCAAATGCATGGAACTGGCAAAGTTACTTCGGGACAGAAGTAGAGGAAGAAGTGGGCAGAGCCCCCTCGGGACCTGCCAATGCCTCCAGAGGCTGAAGTGGGAGCAGACATCAGCCTTGGGCCTCACAGCCGCACAGGTTCACCCCTGAGAGCACACGGGTGAGCACCAGCAGGGCTACATGGTGCCTCCGTGTGCTCAGCCACAGGGCCAGGGCCGGTGAGCAGCTACAAAGGCCCCCGGAGCCTCCTCCACCCACTGTGGGAAGGGACAGGCCACGTCAGGCCCTCCCCAGCCACTTGAGGTGCCCAGGGGTGCTCACAGCACCCAACAACAGGCCTCCTGAAGGCCCCAGCACAGCGCCCTTGCCATGATGCTGGCATCAGTCATCAGAGTCAAGCAAGTAACTGTGGCGTGGTGGCAGAGAGCCTGGCTGGTGGCCACCTCTCAGCAGGCATCCCAGACCACACCCTTGAAGGGCCCAAAAATGAACTATAGGCATTAGAAACCCAAGCTGGGAGAGAGGCCAAATCCCAGCTAGGAGCTCACGCTTGGCTATTGCCCTTCAAAGGATCTGTCTTCCCTCCCACTCTGTGGCAGCAGAAGGCCCCACACCACCTGTGCTCCAGCGGGGAGCTGGTCCACTGGTAGTTTAAGGAGGAAGTCCCTCAGAAGAGGAAGGGTCAACTGCAGGGGATCCTGGGTACCAGATCTTTGCCCTTGAAGACAGCCCTGACTGGCTCAATGCTATTGGCCCCACATCAGATACTAAGCCTGATATCTTAGCATCAGATACTAAGCCTGATGCTCCATAACAAGAGAGTCTTTCCAGTGGCGAGTGACTTTGCCAGGCCCAACCGAATATAAACTGTCAGGTCTCCCTCGAGTGTGTAGAGAAAACCATCAACATCCTTTCTTCTCCCAAGAACTAGACTGTTTATTTCAGGGCTCAAGGAAAATTCAGGAGTTCCAGAAGCCAGAGGAGCACTACAGGGTCCTGCTGGCTTGGAGCCAAACCCCTTGCTCACCCCACAGCAAGCCCCTGCTGCCACCTAGGAGCCAGCATCCTCCTGAGGGCTCTGCCTGAGCTCTGGGGAGTCCATGCTTGGAGTCCTGAGGTAACAGGGCTTAAGTCTCTGATCCTGAGTTCTGCACACAAGAGCTCCCCCAGGTGATTCTGTGTAAGTTCACCTGCATCACCATTTGCACCCAGACCATAATGTTCTCCTCCCAGACACAGCTCAGTTCTCTGTTTTGGCACAACAACATGAGCCCGACCAGGACAGAGTCTCATCTGCTTTCTGATGGGAACCCATGGTGGACAGGTTCTGGGGTGAGCAGCACCGGCCAACTCCCAGATGCTCCCACCATGTCTGACACACATAGCAGATGGTCACCACCTGCAACTTGTGACCAGTGAACACATGCATGCACAGGAAGGGGAGGCCCCTGCACAGTGTGCTGATTCCTTGGCACAGACTCAGTTTCATTTTACTGTAAGCATCGCCTCTCAAAAATGAAGAATTGCAGAAGAAATTTTTGCTAGAACTCTAGATGCAAGGCATTTACCCCTGGTTTCTCCCCAGAAAAGTTTAAGGGCATCATTAGTAGCACGTAACCAGGTGGAGAGCACAGGACAAATGCAGTGACAAAGTCCAGATGCTCACCAGCCTCATGTGCACTGCCAGACCATTCAGGAAGGCTAGCAACAAGCACAGCCACTTCAAGCCACTTTTCCTTCTGTTCTTTGGAAGTTCGACCAAAGCCTGAGTGTCCTCCCTCAGCCTCCTTGCCTGGGCCTCTCCTCCCACCTGTGTCCAGAAGGAGTCCCCAGGTGAACACCACCTCCTCCTGGACTTGGCCCCTTAGAGGTGGCTCCCCTCCTAGGAGCTGGCCAAGTGCTCCAGTGAATGCCTGTTCTGGGCACCCCTGAGCCCTGGGGTGCCAGAAGATCAGCAGTGCCTGGTATGACTGCAACTCCCTCACACCTCCCGTCCTGGACCCAGGGCTGCCATCCAGCAGTAGAACACTGGTCTAGTTCTGGCTGGATGCAGTTTAATCCTGAGGAGGATGAGCTCACATGCCTCACAAACAGGACAAATATACCACCAGGCAGCACTTCCAGGAGAAGTCCTGAGCCTGATGCCGCAACCACAGCACCCCAGAGCCTGGGGCCCAGAGCGGCCCTCCCACCCCTTCTCCTCCATCACCAGCTTACAGTCCCAAACACTGGAGGGACACTGGCACCCTGCTCACCTCTGCCCAAAGCTTACAGAGTGACCTTTGGGGCCTTGCATTCTCCTGATTGGCAGAAGCCATTCACTCAAGCAGTGTGTGCGGAAGAATAAGACACTACCTGCCCCAATTTTTCACAGTTTAGTAAGAATCTTTACCTTAAGCCGTTGAAGAAGGCATCCCAGAACTGCCAGCTGTACCCAGCCACTGCTAGATCTCAGTGCACTAGACTCCCATGTATATCTCAGGTCCACAGAGACTCAGAATGTGGAAGTCCCTTTCTCATTTATGGCCAGACTGAAGCATTTGCGAGATTCTCCAGGAAACACCTTATTACTAGTTTGGGGACATGGTAACATTCCACGTCTTGGGGGTGACTGGCACTGGGTCCCTGCCATGAAGCTGAGCCCCACATGGTGGGCCAGGACAGAGCCGAGGAAGGAAGTTCCAGCCAAGTAGGGATATACATAGCAGACAGGACACAAGGAAAGCAGGGTCTCTCGGGGAACACCCAGGACATCTCCAGGTCAGAGGCACACAGGAAGTGTGGGGCCAACAGGAAAACTTCCTCACCTGAGGTCAGGGCCTGCAGTCTCTGGGGGTCCTGGTAAGAGAAGGGAAAATAGGGAAACACATGTAAGACTTAGAATTTGGAAGGCACTTTGTCCTAAGAGCACCCTGTAAGTAACGCGGCCAAGGGTCTACAGAAAGGCAAGCCAGGGCAGCACGGAGCTGCTTTTCTGGCACCCACCTTTCCTGACCTCTGAGAACATGCTCCAAGGCCAGAGGAGCCTCAGCCTTCAGACCCTCCCCTGGAGGTTTTGCACAGTGGATCTGATCCTCTCTGGGCCTTCAGGGTCCAGGATGATATTTCTCTCTAATTGCAGAAAAATGTTGGCTTTCAGCAGGAGGCATAAGCCATCAGATCAAGCTGGACAGAGAAGAAGACAGATGGACAAGTGGCTGATCCCTGCAGTGATGTGCACTGGCTACAAAGAGATGCAGAGGTCCAACAGGACCAGCACTCCTGACGGCTCAGAGCCCTGAGACGCTCTGTGGGGCATGGCAGGGAGCTTCAGAGGACCCAGGAGGGGAGACTGGCCAAGGGGCGGGGCTCAGTCCTCGCAAGATGAGCAGAGCCTCAGCCCCCTCCTCCCACCCACAGTTGTACCCCCTGACCTCCCACTCTCCACAGTACTAGAACTAGCCTCTGAGGGAGGAAGAGGGCTGGCAATGGAAAGCCAGTGGAGCCACATATATCTCCACCTCTCCACCCTGGGCCAAAGGCCTCAATACCTCCAGATGGGTCCCTGAGCCCCAGGGCCTGGTGTTGGCAAGGGGCATACCATTCACTCGAGCCCATGTTATGGGCTTCTTCTCCTAGGGACACCACTGGGGAGGTGGCAGTGAGAGCCAGCCATGACCGGGGCTCCAGCTGACCAGACGGCACTCACCTCGGAGGGCCTTGGATCGCGTCCTGGCCCGCTTGTCTTCATTCTCTAAGCTCATCTGTAAGAAAACACAGCTGCCAGGTTAGGAAGCTCCAGCCAGCTCCTCCCATTCCAGAGTCATCATCGTGGGGCCATCAGTTCATTTTCTGGATCAAACTCTGGCCCCTGCTGTCCTGGCCCTGTACCTGCCCACAAAAGCCCAAGTGCGGGCCCTGCCCTCCTTAATCCTCATGAGCACAGTGTTTCCGAACACCAGGGGATCCTGGCATGGCAAGAAGCAGCACTGCTCACCTGGCCAGGCAGGTGCTGAGGCACCAGGGCAAGCTGCCCACCATCCATGAAGTGGGGCAGCCCAAATGCCCCAAGGCTTGGCTTCCCAAAGACAGAGATGCTTCCTTCCCACCCAGCAGAGGCATCAATGCCTCTAACACACTGGCTTCAGGCTATTGGATCCCAGCAGCCTAAGGCATCCCCTGCCCACACATGCTATAGCTTCAGGGTCTGGCTGCCCTGCCTGAACCCATCAGTGACCCAAATACCTATCTGTACTCCGTACCTGTGACCAGCCCCAGTGGGGATATTGCCTGCAACATGGTCTTGCTAGGAAATCAGAGAAGAGCCCCAGGAGGGTGACAGTCACAGATAGGACATGCCTGGGGATGAGGTCCCTGGGTGCTACAGGCTGTCCTGCATCACCATGATGAATCTGAAAATAAAACCCTGGCACACTCTGTAGTGAGCAAAACAACCAGAGCCAGGCTGGTGGGGCATGTACACACCCCAGAAGGAGAGGGTAGGCTTGGCCTTCACCACCTGTCCCCTTGGTCAGAGAGGGAGTAAACCTACACCTATCCCAGACCAGGCACTCCAGGATGGCCAGGGCGACAGGCATGAGGCTGTCCAGGAGGAAGCAGGAGAGTGGGGAAGAAGTTATAGAAGAAAGGACTGGGGAGAAGCAGGAGCCCCTGCCTTAGGTGGGGCTTTAGGTCCTAAAAGCCAACAAGAGAGAAATGTCTACAGTTATCACCTGGGAAGAAAGAAAAAGGAAATTTCCCAATTAGTGAAACGGAATTTGCAAAGTGAATCTCCCCACACAGCAGCATAACATACAATGATCTATGTGATTTGTTAAGGAAGAAAAATCAAACCTGGGTAATTTATAAAACCTCTCAGCTCTGGGCTGGGGAGCACAGAGCTACAAGCCACATGTTCATTACAGCCCTCCATAAAACAGAGGACAATTACTGTGATTTCTACTTTTAAAGCCAAGGCTCCCCATGGACCAGTGGCTCACATTTAAAGTGAGGAGAGGAGCAGGTGTCAAAGAGACTTCATGACATTTATGAGCCTTCAAAGGTGGACCGCTCAGAGCCCAGGCCCACAGCCTCCCAACACAGGCCTCACAATGGAGCCGTGCATCTGATGGCCAGGCGCTGCATTCAGCTGAAATGCAATCTATAGCTTTTTTTTCCCCCGTTCATTTTCCCAAGGAAATTGGCAAGCATTCTGTTAGGTTAAAGCGTGCCTTGGCAATTTGGATTTCCTGCAGATAAATTATTCAAAGAGCAGAGAATAGAGAGGGCTGCAGGGATGTGTAATGGGCGCTACTAGCACACTGTGAGCGCCATTGATGAAGCTAACAGCTGTGGCATTCATTCTGCTGAGCACCTTTCCATTTGCAATTTATCTGCATCAAATGGTCAAAAAGTGAGAAGTTCTCTTCAGCGCGTGAAGCTTTGAATCTAAGGGGGAAAGCTGGACTACAGGAGGAAAGCCAGGCTCTCTGATGTGAGAATTGATCTGTAGGAGCCGGGTGATTTGTGACCTTGACACAAGCAGGAACGAGGACCTGCTTTCTAATGGGAACCCATGGTGGACAGGTTGGAGGCTACTGGCAAAGCTCTGGCGAAGCCAGCCACTGGGTCCACATGGCCTTCCTTGTCAGAACTCAAAGTGCTATGAGGTGGGTCTGCTGTCCTCTGGCCTTGAGGTCCTGCCCCACAAGGTGGCCATGCCCAGGGCACCCCTGTGCCCAGCACCACCCCAGCTCACCATTTCTGGATTTGGTGGCAACCCCCTGACCACATTCCCCCACTTCCACACAAGGACAGACCCTGCCCTCAAGGGCAGTTCACTGATGCCAAAGATACAGGTGCTTAATTTCTCACAGATTTGGTTTTTAAAAACTTGTTTCAGGGCTGGGGATGTGGCTCAAGCGGTAGCGCGCTCGCCTGGTATGCACGGGGCGCTGGGTTCGATCCTCAACACCACATAAAAATAAAATAAAGATGTTGTGTCCACCAAAAATTAAAAAATAAATATTGATTTTAAAAAAACTTGTTTCAAGCACAAACCAACAGGGTCTATTTTTGCACAACCCTTTCGCCTGGAGGGCGAAAGGAAAGGGCCAGCTCCCCACTCCCACTGCAGGGCCAGTGACCTTGCTCAAGGGTAGCGTCCACTCTGCTTCTCTAACACCAACTTCATCATGCCCCCACTCAGCAGGCCTTGCAACTGTAACCGATATTCCAACACTCCCGCCTTCTGTGGAAAACTGTGGGAAGAGAGCACTCCACAAATGCAAACATATTTTATTCTGCCACTTTAACCAGAGAGAGATGTCTCTTTGTTCATCTACTCAGTCTGCTCTCTTGGTTCTGCACAAGACCAGTCTCCCTAAGAGAGTGTTTCTGCTTTGTTCTGGTGTATATCTCTTTTTAGTAAAGTCGGCACCGGTTGTGTGACTTCTTTCCCGACAGGCACAGCTCTCCCAATGACCAGCTCCTTTCAGACTCTGCACAGTATCCTGGCCAAAAACAAGTCCCCTGAGCTGGATGTTCACCGACTCAGGTACCAAAAAGCAGATGCACCAGCACGTGAAGCCTGCAGGTGTGGCCACAAGGACACAGCCGACGTAAGTGATCCATGCCAAGACTGTAAGGGACTCACGCTTCCCTGCACCTGGCATACTGGCACGGACCTTCACCTTTACCTGCCCCTTCTAGCCCAGGCTCCACTGCCCTACCGCCCTGCCTCTCCTCCCCATCCCTCCTTCCTTTCTCTGAAGAATCCCTCACTTGGCCCCAGCAGGAGGTGTCCTGGCCCCAGATGGCACAAGCCTAGGCCTTCCCTTGGTCCATGCTTCACCCTAGGGAGGTGGGAGCAGGTCTCATGAGCAAGCACCAAGATGAGGGGCTAACAAGGCTGGAGAGACTGGCAGGGGTGGGAGGGTGAGCTGAGCAGGGAGACCTGAGGACACCAGGGGCAACACGTCTGGTGCAGTGTACTCCACCCCAGGGGCTCGGCTGCCTTGGGTCTGGGCCAGGCCTTGGCCCTCCCACCCACTTCTCCACTCTCTACTCTGCACCTGCTTCTCTCCTTCGCACGGCTCTTCTCAATCTGAAACGAGCTCACTCCTCTCAGACGTGAGTGAGGTCAGTCACTATATGTCCTGCAGAGCTGTCCAGCATAGCTCATCTACAAAGGACAGATGGAGGAGTGGGGGAAAGGGTGGGGATGGTCAGAACTGCCTCTGAGTCCTGGCACAGAAGGGTGAAGCGGCACCTTCAGAAGGACCTGGGCAGAGACAGCTGTGGCGGCCTCAACTGAGGGAGCTGGGCTCTTGACACCAAGGGGCTGGCCACTCACCACCCTGGGTGGAAGGAAGGCACACTGGTGTTATTTTAAACATGCTGTCAAGGCCAGCAAAGCTGGAGAATTAGGGTGGGTCTAGGGGGACTTTTTAAGTCCATAGATGAGTAGATCACAGTGACCAGCAGGAGGCCTCCGGGCTTTTGTGCGACACTGTCCTTCAGAGACCTAGATTGGGGGCAGGTTCCTGCTGACCCCCAGGGAATGCAGGCAGCTGCTGCCCAGAAGAAACAGGATGAGGAAGACATGTACAGAAGAGGTGGCAAAGATGACCCCCACCCTGTTCGCCTCAGCAGCAGCCCCCTGGTCCAAGGAGAGAAGGAAGTACAATGGCTTCCTCCTCTCCAGGGGGAGCCAATGCTGAGCAGGGGCCACTGCCAAGAAGCCCTGGCAGCAGGTGACAGGGATCTGTGTAGTGCAGGCTCTGCCATAGGTGTCCTACTTCCTATTCTCTGGATCTCAAGAGCCCAGCTCCCTCAGTTGAGGCCGCCACAGCTGTCTCTGCCCAGGTCTTTCTGAAGGTGCCGCTTTACCCTCCTGTGCCAGGACTCAGAGGCAGTTCTGACCATCCCTTTCCTCCACTCCTCCATCTGTCCTTTGTAGATGAGCTATGCTGGACAGCTCTGCAGGACATATAGTGACTGACCTCACTCACGTCTGAGAGGAGTGAGCTCGTTTCAGATTGAGAAGTGCCGTGCGAAGGAGAGAAGCAGGTGCAGAGTAGAGAGTGGAGAATTATGTGCTCACATCCCTGTGCCCCACCAGGAGACATCGCAGCCACCCACCCACCCTGGCAATCGCAGTGGCCACTCTGCTTCCCTTAGGGAGACATCCAGCTGTGCATCCGAAACCTCCTGGCTTTCCACCCATTGTGCAACTGCTTGCAGCTGAATAGACAGCCTCCTTCTCTGGTAGAGCAACGACACCCTGCTGCATCATCCAAGGTGTCTGAGGGTCTCCTACAAGTTCTAAGCAGAGGATCTTGGCTTACTCCAATCCCCAGTTAAAAATTGTAGCTACAGAACAGACACCCTGATGAAGCGGCCATGTCGGCATCCACCTGTTAAAAACGCTGGCATAGAGAAATATCAGCACACAGCAGCATCCAGTGAGGTAGCCAGAAAGGACACACCAGTGGCACTTCCCTCCCCTGCAAGCAAGGACACGGGATCCCAAAGGGCTGTGCAGTCAACTCCACAACTCCAGGCACCCACTATTACGTGATTAGGGGCCCAGGTATTACATTCTTCCACGTCCAGAAGGGTTTCACAGAGCCACCACCCTGCCTGCACAACCCCCTAACACCCCATCTCCCCACTTTCTGACCGCCCTTTCCCTGCCCTGAGCTGTCCACACACCTGGTGCTGAACTCAGAGGTGAAGGCCCCGGCTGCCCCACTACTTTGCA